AACAGTTAGTACACATGTTGCCCTATGACAATAGTTAACAACCTCACAACACATCAACACTATCCTTACTCAACCTTGGGTTCCCTATCACCAGCTTTCTTGCCCCCTTCTGCCTTCTGGCCCTTGTCCCTGGACTGCTGTGCATTTCATTTTTTAACGTTGCCTGTTCACACTAAAGAAAATGAAAACTGCTCATTACTCAATAGAATTATTAGGTGTTGGTCTAGAGGTAAGAACCTAAGAAACAGATACATAATGATTCATTTTTAAAAAAAGCATTTACACAGGTACACATAAAACAAAACAAAAAACAGTTGTTGTCAAGTGGACTCTGACTCATGGAGACCCCACGTGTGTCAGAGTAGAACCGTGCTCCACAGGGTTTTCAATGTCTGATTTTTCAGAAAGAGATCCCCAGGCCTTTCTTCCAAGGTACTTCTGGGTGGACTCGAACCTCCAACCTTTCGGTTTGCAGTCAAGTAGGTTAACCGCTTGTACCACCCAGGGATGCCATATATAAAAGAAAAGAAATACTAATAAAGAATTGTAGGATGCTCAACAATAACCTAGAAAATGGAATAAAAATAAATACCTACCTTATGTACAAGTCTCCTATTTATACACCATGAAGAATTACTTAGGGAGTCACAGTAATAATAGAGACAAATATTTTAATCTACAGATATCAAAGCATAATGAAACATTTAATTATTTTCTTCACACATAACAACGTTGGGAGAAGGTCGTTGTGTGTTGTTCAGTCAATTCTGGACCATAGCGACCCTAAGGAGCCTTGGTGGTGCAATGGTTAATCACTCAGCTGCTAACTGAAAGGTCACCTGTGAGAGCTCACCACCAGCTCTGTAGAGAAAATGTGGGGATCTGCTCCTGTAAAGATTACAGCGTAGGAAATGCTATGCGGCAGTTCTGCTCTGTCCTACAGGGTTGCTATGAGTCACTATGAGTGTTGGGGTTAGGGGAAAAATACTTCACAAGACTCGTCTAGTATAAAACTTTGGGCCTTGTCTCAGTGGTCCCAGGTAGGTGGGTTAAACATTCAAATCCATCAGCAACTCCTTGGAAACCCTATGAGGCCATTCTACTCTGTCCTATAGGGTCACTATGAGTCAGAACTGACTTGACGACAAAGTGTTTGTGTTTTTTTTAACAGAAACTCTGGAGATCAGAGCGTCTTTCATTCCTTTTACAAAAGTTACTGATAGAAAATCCGAATAGATCTGGACCTGTCTTCCCAGACATTCATCACATCTCCATTTTTAATTTCCCAAAAGGAGTTTTAAGTTCTTATCTTGGCCTGTGTGCCTCTCCTCTGGGTAGAAAAGGAAGTCAACATATTAAAGTTTGGAGGAAAATAAAAATAAACATGACAAGTATCTAAACAACTCAAGCCAGGTGTTTTCTGAATGATACATAAGATTTGCTTATTTTCTACTGTGATTGAGGAGCCACATTCTTGTGAGGAAAAAAAGCTGAATGGCCAAACCACCGAGGACAGAATTGTTGGTAATCCTGATGAAAACGTGCTACAAAGAGAATGCAGGTCCCAAATCACCACGTTGACCATTGTTGTTGTTAGGTGCTGTTGAGTTGGTTCCAACTCATAGCGACCCTATAGGACAGAGTAGAGCTACCCCATAGTTTCCAAGGAGCGGCCGGTGGATTTGAACTGCTGACCTTTTGGTGAGCAGCCGAGCTGTTAACCACTGTACCACCAGGACTCCGCAATGATCATAGGAGCCTGGGAAGAAGGAAACCACAAGGGGCTTTGCAGCAACAGAAATCCTAAGAGGAAACAACTGGCAACTTTAATATGTGAAAAGTTTAATTTCTTATAAGGAGACAACAACAAAGTCAGAAAAAAAATGGTGAACAACAGACAGGAAAACATTTTTACAAAAATTACAGGGGAAGGGCTAATAGCCATACTTAAAGACACATGGGAAAAGAATCAAAATAGGCACTTTTTATAGGAGGAAATGGAAGTCCACAAGAAATGTTTTCCCCAAAGATGTACAAATTAGAGTAAATTTGAGTTCACTAATCCTAATGCAGCAAAAAAATTTCTGAATGAAAAACCGAAAAATTGGTGAAATGGGTACAGTTATGCACTGGTTGCTGGTACTATAAATTAGTATAATCATTTTGGAAACCAACATGATTATGTGATGGCATTGTGCTAGGCCACATAAGAAAAATATCTTATAATTTTAGTATCTGGAAAAAAAGACCACGAATGTTCAGAAAGATTAAACAATGTTCTCAGAGTTTCAGAGTTACACCAAGATTCAAAGATTCGAAGCCAGCCCACCAAACTCAAAGTCTAGAAACGTATTATCCACCCAACTCTATTGCTTTCTAAGGACACAAATGGAAAACAGAAGTCTTCAATTTAATCTCCAATAACGTCAATATAGGGTCACCGTGAGTCTGAATTGATTCCATGACAATGAATTTAACGTCTATATTGGGCATTTGTCCCAAGAAAAATCTCAAAAGCAGAAAAAAAACTACTTTATTTATAAAATATTTACTATATTTATAAAATATTCACTGCAGTGCTATCTTAAAAAGAGAAAGAAAAAAAATTTTATCCTGCAACTGGGTAAGTTAAACATAGTAAATAAACCTGTTAGAATACTGCATTCTTTTTAAAGCAAATAATAATATAGAATAATATATAGAAACAGGAGTCCCTGAGTGGCACAAATGGTTAAGCCCTTGACTAACAGCTGAAAGGTCAGCGGTTCGAACCCACTCTGAGGTGCCCTGGAAGACTGGCCTGGCCATCTGCTTCTAAAAAGTCACAGTCTCAAAAACCCTATGGGGTAGTTCTACTCTGCACACATGGGGTCGCCATGAGTCAGAAATGACTTGATGGCAACTAACAACAACAACAACATATAGAAAATCATTTTTACGATAAAAAAATCCATTGCCGTCAAGTCGATTCCAACTCATAGCGACCCTATAGGACAGAACAGAACTACCCCATAGGGTTTCCAAGGAGCAGCTGGTAGATTCGAACTGCTGACCTTTTTGCTGGCAGACAAGCTCTTAACCACTGCGCCACCAGGGCTCTGTATTTATGATAAACTTATGTAAAAAATATAAAATTATATTTTTGTAACTATAATTATTTTTTATAAATTAGAATGCATATGAAAGTTGAAAAGAAAATTTGAAAAACTGGTAATACTGTTAGTGGTGGTAAGCTTATGCACACTATGTTCTGTCATGTTTTTAATGCTCCTGGCAATATTTTTACAATGAAAAATGGAACCATCCAGGGTGAACGGATAAATTGCTGTACATTCAATGACATACTACTCACAATAAAAAGGGAGTGGAGATGATACATGCAACATGGATGACAGAAAGAAGCTGGACACAGAAGAGGTCATACTGTATGATTCTACGTACATGAAACTTCAGAAAAGACAGATCTATACTATAGTGACCAAACCAAACCCACTGTCGTTGAGTCGATTCTGACTCACAGCGACCCTGCAGGACAGAGTAGAGCTGTCCCAAAGGCTTTCCAAGGCTGTGACCTGATGGAAGCAGACTGTCACATCCTCCTCCCACAGAGCTACTGGTGGGTTCCAACCGCCAGCCTTACGGTTAGCAGCCAAGCGCTTAACCACTGCGCCACCAGGGCTCCTTTATACTACAGTGACTACAATACTTATCAGTGGTCTCCTAGGGCCACACACTGGGTGGGGTGGCCAGAATGGTCTAGGAAGGGGCACAAAAGAACTTTTAGGGTGTGGAGACGTCCTGTATCTTGATTATGTTTGTAGTTACACGGGTGCATAAATTCAAAACGCATAGAAATCCACACTTTAAACGGGAATATTTTATTATATGTACATTATGTCTAAATAAAGTTGATTATAAACAATTAAAAGACCATGAATCATTTAATCAAAGGTGTGGAAAGACTATCATTTCATAGGTACACAAAGAAATTGATGGAAAGACTAAGAAACAATATTAGTCAACAGTTTTTCAATGAAAAAGAAATGCCTACAAAGAAAATAATTATTCAAATTAAAAAATATTTATCAGTGACTTATTCTAAATGCTAAAAACAAAGAAATATGGTTAGAAAATGCAGAATAATTTCTTACTCTCTAGATTTTTAAAACGGTGTTAAAGACCAAATTAAACATCAGCAAAATAATTAAGTAACTACACCCTATGCACAGGAAGTAATTATATTGCAGAGCCTGATGTTTCTCCTTCCTATAATTAAAGTTTTCCTCATATATTACAAGACATATTCAAAACTAATTTATAACATTTTTCTAACCTCAAAATGATTACAGAAATGAAACTCTTCACTGTCATCTACCTGGTCTTTGTAAAATACTAAAATGAAAAAAGATGTTTAAAAGGAAGTTTACAGTAGCAGAAAAATTTAAATATCAAATGAAAAGATCAACGTCCCACAAAAAAATTCTAGGTATAGTTCCTTAAAATACATAAAAGATATATGGAGAAGATATGAAAGTACACAAATAAATGTGCTTACTATATTAATAAATTTATGACTTCTTTATTTTCAAGTTTAATGCCAAGTGAATTAGTTAACTAGCTGGGAGTACGATGATCAGTGGTAACTGCATTAATTATACCAAGGGAGTAATTTAATAACTGCAACTAATTATCACCACCACTGTGGGTGTGTGTGCTAAAACAGCCAGGCCCTCCACTCATTGTGTCTTTGTGTTCCTACTTACTGTCTTTTTACTAAGCAATTGTCACCCCTCTGGCGAGAGTACCCACTTCGAGGCTTATTATAATTATTTCACTTTCTCAGTAATATGACTTCAGACTGAAAACACTGGGAAAGTCTCAGTCTAGCTCACAAACACTAAACAGCAATTTAGTTATAAAACTGGCACCAAGTTGTACACGTTTCCAATAGAAGTATTAAACCCATATAAAATAGGTGTTTGAGAATGTGTGTATGGTTGGTGACAAACATGGGATATAGTCTCAATTGTCAAAAAGCAAAGGAAGTTAAGCTAAGCTCGTCACACTAGAAACAAATAAAAACCAAACCCGTTGCCATGGAGTCGATTCCGTCTCATAGCAACTCTATAGGACACAGTAGAACTGCACGATAGGGTTTCTAAGGAGCACCTGGCGGATTCGAACTGCTGACCTTTTGGTTAGTAGCCCAACTCTTAACCACTACACCACCAGGTAGAGGTGCAAATTTAAGGTATTCTACTGCCCAGGAGCGCAGGTGGGGGCAGCGGTGGCTCAGTGGTAGCATTTTTGTCTTCCATGCGGGAGACCCAGGTTTGATTTCAGTCAATCCACCCCATGCAGAGCCACCACCTGTCTGCCAGTGGAGGTTAGTATGCTGCTATGATGCTGAACAGGTGTCAGGGGAGCTTCCAGACTAAGATGGACTAGGAAGAAAGACCTGGCTATCTATTTCTAACAATCAGCCAGTGAAAGCCCTATGAACCATGACCATTCGATCTCATTGTGCATGGGGTCTCCATCAGTCAGGGGCCAACTTGACAGCAGCTAACAACAACTGCCAAAAGGTACGTGGTATACATCCAGTCAGGGTCTCAGACAGTCAGGTGTGGGGCAGGGAGGTGGTATACATCCAGTCAGGGTCTCAGACAGTCAGGTGTGGGGCAGGGAGGTGGTATACATCCAGTCAGGGTCTCAGACAGTCAGGCGTGGGGCAGGGAGGTGGTACCTCCAATCAGGGTCTCAGACAGTCAGGTGTGGGGCAGGGAGGTGCAGCTGGACAAGGGAAAGGGACCTCTGATGAATCTTGAACATCTCGTGTGGCTGAAATGGAGGAAGGGGAGGCTATTCTGGGCACAGGAAATCACAAACGGTAAGTAATCTGATATATTTATATTACATATGTAATGCGATGTAATGTTAGGTTATATTATATTACGTACTGTTATAATAATATAAAATATGCTTATCCTCCTGAAATGGACGAAGGGGAGGCTATTCTGAGCACAGGAAATTACAAACAATAAGTAATTTGATATATTTATATTACATATATAACATTAGGTTATGTTATATTATGTACTGTTATAATAATATAAAATATGCTTATCCTCCAGGTTTTCAACTAAAAATGACTGATGTTTCCAAGTTTGGCAAAACTAAAGTACAAGGCAAGTCCTTTAAATCTCAATAAAATCTGACTCATGATGAATGAATTGGCTCATACATACACATAGGCATGTCATTAAAAACCCACGGGTATACGTGGGGGGCCTTCAGCCACAGCCAATGTCCAGGTGCCACAGGCAGCCTGAGGGTGTGCAGAAAAGAGCCTAGGTTAAGCTCACGGCCACTGCACACATCTGAGAAAGGCCATTCTCTAAAGAGTTTATAGCTACTAACATGTTAGAAGTTCACATAAACGGGTAGTAGGAGCCACCAGTCACTTTGGGTGCAGTGATTTTGCACAAGGGAGCTAAAAAACTAATTGCAAGGAACCTTACACTGTAAATGGGCATTTTGCTGAAAACATTCCACGTGGTTTTCTAGTATACTCTGCAGCTGTTAGAATGTTCCAAAAAGGTTATGTGTACCGTGCGATCCTGGGGTTGTAAAAAAGGGCATTTATAAACATGCATAGACTGGAAGACTTGCCACCAAGGGGCCACAGGCACTGTCCTTGTTGCTTCCCTCTATTTTATAATTAAAAACTAATAAATTGTTTGTAAACCAACAAACAGA